AAGGGCCCCTGCACCCCATGGGGACCTGCAGTCAGGTCTGAACCTCCTCACTAACCTCGCCTGACCCGGTCGGCTAACACGCCAGCTCGGGCGCCCCTCCGTGTAGCAGCCCGGCCCTGTGGCATCGGACCAGAGTGGGCGCCAGCTCAGCGCCCGGCATGCGGACTTGGCGTCGGCAGGCGTGGCACCTGGGTGATAGCGTGGAGGTTTGGGAACCGTCTCTCTCTGGTCTCTGCACCTCTCTCTGCCGTTATTGCAGGATGTGTCTTTTTCATACTTGCTCTTGTGTTCGCCTTACCCGCTAGTCACGCAGCCTTGCACTCTGTACCCACCCCATGCCCATCGCGGGGCACCCTGCTCACTGAGTGATCCGCCCTGGCACCCCGGCTGCGGTGGCCGACTCAGCCCTGTGCTGCTGGGGTGCACCTGCTCGGTAGGAGCGGTGCGGACTTCAGCCTGCAGGAGTGAGACGCTTTGACAATTTGCAGTCCCAGGGGAGTTGTTACAGCCTCCTGCAAGACAACCGGCCCCTCTCTCCCCTCTGTATTTTCTGCCTCCTACAGGCCCGATGGTCTCAAAGGATGGGGTTACTTTAGTTCACCTTTTCCACGTGCGCCATGCTGGTCACTTTCTTATTGATTAGACTTTTTGATGCTTCTTTTACTGGGAAACCATATTGATGCCATATTGTGGAGTGACAGTTTATTCACTCACCTGTGAAAAGACCATGAGTGTGATTGTGCAAAACCTATTTAAAATTGGCCTCTGTACCTGGCTGAGGGAGCACGTACCTCCTGGAGCGCTCCCTGTTAGCCAGGGACGTCGAGTACATCTGATGTGAGTGACTGAGACACGCCTCACTTCTGGAATCCTTCTCAGCCGATCTGCAGATACTCTTGTTCTGAAAGAAATGGTTTATTTTTATTCTTTACATTCATGTCTTACCTCTGCAGCTAGAACTGAAGACTGTCAAGGGTGGATATTTGTCTGCTTTGTGTTTGTAACATACACATGTGTGTATCACACACACTCAGTGTGCCCTGGAGTTGCCTCTTATGATGAGTAAACCTGGCAGCTCTTCCCCCTAGCTTATATTTATAATACTCTCGTGTGTGTGTCAAAGTATTCTGGGAAAGCTGTAAACACTTAGACGCCTCTGCCCTGGCCTTCCAGTGTGAATTAGTTGACAAGATAACACTAACGCCCTTGGACAGCAAAACCATCAGACGGAGACCTGGCTCCTCAGGCTGAGACCGGTAACAAAGGAGATGATTTAGCACAGCGTAATTCAGGGTGGTATCAAGTGCAGTATTGGAGGTACTACTTTAAAAACCCAAAAATAGTGATGCAAATCATGTCACCCTAAATGTAGAAAATGAGGGGAAATTTTTTAGTTACAGAAATAGCTGGAAAGTTAAAGTAAAACCCAATTGAATCCCAAGTGATAGAACATCAGGGTGGAGAGAATTCCAAGCAGAAGGAGGTAAAGCAAGAAGCAGGTCGGACAGGAAGGCAGAGCGTGGAGGCCCAGGGAGACAGCGGCACCGAGCTGAGCGCGCCACCCGCTGAGGCCTGGGTGAGGGGGCTTCACGGAGAGCTCGCAACGCTCTCGCTCCGCGCCCTGAGGGAGGGGCGCTGTGATCTCGAACCACCCTTCCTCAGGTCCCCGGACCGAACCGGCACCGATGGTGGCAGGCAGGTTTGCTGACTCTGGTTCCCTGCGTTTGTCCGACCATCGGACTCGCGGGAATGATCAGAGGAGCGTGGCAGCAGCACAGCTTCCTGGGCCTGCGCGCAGAGCAGCTAAGTCAGAGCCTTCGGGGAAAGCTGCGCCAGGTGACGCGTGAGGAACAGGCACGCTGCCGAGCGTGGCCCAGGAAGGGAAGCCGGAAATTAGGAAAGAGAGGGTCGGCCTTTCAGACAGCCCCAGAACGCACACACACGACTTACCATCACCCTCTTTGCTCAAAGAGTCAGATTTAACGCCGGACTAGAATAGGTACAGGGCCAGATTTGTGCGTGAGAGGCCTTAGTCCACGTGCGTGTTTCCAGTTTTGCTGTCCCCTTGGGGTGGAGATTGTAATCCGGTCCCTAGATTTCTAGATGTGTGTATTCATGGGCTGTAGAGTCAGAATGTGTCGCTAAGAAGGTCATCCTGCCAAACTCCCTCATTTGACAGATGAGAGCTATACCTGTGTGTCTTGTGGGTTTTCCCATCCGTGCACAGGGGAGGACGCATGCCAGGTGTGGGGCTTTGACCCTTCTCTAAGTTTGCGAGAATTCTGCAGCCTACGCCCTGAACTGATAATCTGTAAATGAATTAAACAGTCCCATCCTAGCTTCCATAACCCATGACAGTAAGCTCTCGGAGGAACGTTTGTTCATCAAATTCTACAACTTTTAAGACCTCACATGCCCCATAAGAAGCTCAAATATGGGTCAGATTATCCTAATGTCATCTTGACATGCTTTTAGGAAACTGAGCCAAAATATCTGGCTTCAAGGATGGCGCCCCAGTTCAGTCAAGGTTGAGCCCTGTGGGAGCATCTGTGGGTTGGAAACTGTCTCTGTCCTCAGCCGGCCTCTGTGGCTGTTCTGACAAAGACAAGCCTTTGTCTGTGACCTTTCATTTCTCCTCCACTATCGGTTTTGCTAAATTTTGCTCTGAACCCCCGATGCCTTGGGCCTTCTCTTAGTCTGAAACAGCTTATTCCATGAGGGGCCCAGTGGGGACAGAGGTGGAGAGGAAGGGAAAGGTGCCAAGAGGTTGCGTGAGAGTGAAGAGACACGCACGCAGCTCGCCTGCTCTCCTGCTCACCTGCTTCGGGCCTTGGGGCCGTTTGCAGCTTTTCCCTCCATCCCAAAGGCTGACAGAGAAGGCCCTGCGAGGGAAATATGAGATGATTTTTACAAATACCCTTCAATGCCACGGCTTATGGTGCTTTAGCCAAGCTGTGTTCCTCCAATTTCCGCTGCTCACACTTACAAAGTGGGAAACTCACCTATTGGTTTCATAAGCACTCCGGGCACGGGCTTTCCATGGCCATCTGCCTGGTGTCAGTGTGAAGTCACTGCCGGGCCCAGCAGGTGGCCGGGACTCTCTGGGGGTAGCCCCACTGCTGGCTGCCCACCCAACACCTGTTACCCATCTTTTTCCTTACTAACAGGACCCCAGTATTGCTTACTAACAGGGTACCCAGGTGAAGAAAACTTCACGGTATATGAGATGCTCAGTGAAACTCTGGTTAGTTTGACATTCATGTGCTAGGTCACTACCCAAGACTCAGGGCTAAGGTCAGTCTGTCCAGTCCTGCTCAATCCCTTCCCTCTCAAACTAGTCCAAAGTCCTGGGGCCAAATTTATGCTTAGTGTACTTGCCACAAAGCACCTGGTCCAACCCAGCAGGCCTGTCCTTCCAGTCCTCCAGGCAAAACAAATGGAAAGATTTTTAATTATTTTACTTCCTTGTTTTATCCTAGAATTGTTTGCACCCAGGGTTTACAAACATTCTCAAATACTTCTAGATATTGCAGTCTAGATCTTAGACTTGCCTGCTTCTCCTTAGTACCTGCATTCATTTTCTCAACCCAGTTTGGAATTTTGGCTGCACCAAAGTGGTCTGTCAAACCAGTCACCTCCATTTCCAAAACCTTTTTCTTGTTTACGAGTGTTTCTGTGGTTACCCACTTTAATCAGAGTTCCCTTCAGTCCTCTGGGTCTGTACACGAGCCCAGGTGGATTTTTTTAAGAAAGCTTGCTTCCCCTCAGTTTCTGTCTTGAACTATTCCTAGTTCATAACCAGTTTTTCAGTTGGCTTATGAAGACGGTGTTTTTCCAAAGTTTCCGCTTATCTTAACTACACCACTGCATCATCCAAGGGACCCAATAAAATGCCAGATTCTGTTAAACTGTTTTCTGTGCTTGGAAACACACACTGACTATTGATTACAGCTGGAGTTGGCGCTGCAGTTTTATTTCATTCTACCTTTCCCAGTAATGCTAATATACTGAAGAAAAAATGGAACAAACGCTATTTTTTATCCTGGAATATATGATACTCCCAAGTAAAGTTGGGAGGGAGCTGTCTTTTTAACTCTAAGATTTTTCTAACTATTTATTTTGAAAAGTTTCATACTTATACAAACTGATAATAATAGTACAATGAGCTCCTTTATGTCTTTCAGTTAGATATATCACTTATAATCATTTTTTCATATTATGTGTCATGTAAAATGCATGTTTTATGTCTCCCTTTCTCCCTAGGTATGTGTTTTTATATATAATTCCACTATTATTATTAGTTCGCCCTTTGAGAGAAAGTTCCGGCATCTGATGTAGTGCTCTATGTATGTAGAAGAAATACTCAAGACAATTTTATTTAAAAAAGGAAACGGGTTAAGGGATCTAAATGGAAGTAAACATTGAATGTTTCACTCAAAGTGGTAGGATGTTGATATGAGGAGGCTAGAATAAGTTACTTGTATGTTGTAATATCTAGAACAACCACTAAGAAAACTATAAAAAGTGATATGATCAAAAATATTATAAATAAATAAAAACAGCATTCTAAAATTTGCAAGATAATCCACAGGAAGGCAAGAAAAGAGAAGCAGAGGAATGAGAAACAGAAAAGGAACAAAACAAATAATGAAATGGCAGGTGTAAGCCCTAAGTTTCAATAGTTACTCTAAATGTAAAGGGTCTAAATACTCAAATTAGACTTCAGAGGGTGGCAGAATGGACAGAAACATACTACCCAAATAAACGCTGTCTTCACAAAATTCATTTCAAACTTAAGTATATAGGTAGTTTGAAAGTAAAAGGATGAAAAAAGATATATCATATAAAACCAATAAAGGAATGGCTGCATTATATCAGATAAAGTAGACTTCAGAGCAAAGAAAATCACTGAGGACAAAGAGAAACATTTTATAATGAGTGAAGAATCAATTCACCAAAAAGATACAGCAATCCTAAATATGTATGCAGCAAACAACAGAGCTTCAAAACACGCGATGAAAACACTGAAAGAACTTAAAGGAGAAAGATAAATCCACAATTATAGTTAGAGACTTCATCACCCCTCTGTCAGCACTCAATAGAACCTCTAAACAGAAAACCAGCAAAAATGTAGAAGAACTGAACGACCTCATCGACCAACATCTAGAGAACACATCACCCAAGAGCAGCAGGATGCACGTTCACGTTCAGCACCCACAGAACATTCATCAAGACAGACCACGGCCTAGAGGAATTTTTTTTTAATTTAGTAAATTGAAGAAAACTGAAACCATAGAGAGTTTGTTCTCTGATCATAATGGCATCATACTAGAAGTCAGTGACAGATGGAGTCATGCTAGAAATTGATGACAGAAAGACAAAAGGGAAATTTTCAAACATGGAAAGTAGCAACACTGCTAAATAATCTATGGGTCCAAGAGGAAGGCTAAAAGGAAATTTCAGCATAAATTTAACTGAATGAAAATGAAGGCACAATGTATCAAAACCTGTGAGATGCATCTAGAGCAGAACTGAGAGGGAAACTTATAGCATGAAATGCACACGTAGGAAGCAGAAGTCTCAGAACAATTTCCTAAGTTCCTGCCTCACAAAACTAGAAAAAGAAGAGCAAAATAAACCAAAATCAAGCAGAAGGGAGGCAATAATAAAGGTAACAGTGTAACTCAATAAAATGAAAAATAGGGAACAATCGGAGAATATAAATGAAACAAAAGGTAGCTCTTTGAAAAATCTCAGTAAAATCTGTAAGCCTCTAGCAAGACTGATAAAAAGACATAAGTCACCATATTAGGAATGAAATAGGGAGTTATCACTACAGACCCTTCAGCCACCAAATGATAGTAAGTGAATACTGTTCAGTTTATACCATAAAATTGACAA